TGCCACCTCTTTGCATAGTGCTGGGAATTTTGCCTGTGGCACGACCTAACCAGGCGCACTCAAGAAATGGATATCAGACCGAACGGTGACACTACTTAAATCCCGGAGAAATATCCCAACCGGTCCCGAACATAACCCGATGCGAAGAGCTAGCAGACGCCAAGTGAAAGTGAGCTTGCGATCCGACCGTGAAGTATGGTGGACACAGAAAGCCAAAGAAATGGAAGAGGCCCAGAAAGCCGCCAGTGCCCAGTTGATCTGTTCGACGGGTCCCCGGAAACCACCTGTGAGTGAAAGCATCAAGCATCAGATTGGAACGACCATCTCGAACAAAGAAGAACGCCTCTACCGGTGGGCCGAATACTTCGAACAACAACTGTCGTGGCCACCAACCGACACTCATCTAGAGCCCACAGGTGAAGTAGAACCCTGGACAGTGAACGTGGAACCACCTACGGCCTCGGAAGTTTACGACTGCATATGTTCTCTCAAGCGCCACCGAGCTCCCGGTCCGGATGACCTTCCACCCACACTGTTCGAAGTCGGGGGTGAAGTCTTCAGTCAGCGCCTGTCCGATCTGTTTGCTTGCATTCGGGAAAAGGAGTCTGTCCCAGACAACTGGGGAGAATCGGTGATAGTGCCCGTTTTCAAAAAAAGGGGCGCGTAGTGAGTGCGGTAACCACAGGGGGATCAGCTTGACCCCGGTTGTAACGAGACTGTTGGCGTCAATTGTGCTTCGTCGCCTTACGGTGGCTCGTGAGATAATGACTCGAGAGCAGCAAGCGGGATTTCGGCCTTGTAGGGGTTGTGTTGACCAAATATTCGCACTGCATCGGGTGCTAGAACAACGCCATACGTATAAGCGACCCACGATTCCAGTATTCCTGAATTTCCGAGAACATTCGATTCGCACTGCATCGGGTGCTAGAACAACGCCATACGTATAAGCGACCCACGATTCCAGTATTCCTGAATTTCCGAGGAAGACTCGGTTGGGTTGATCAGTCTGTTCTTCTTGATGACCACTAACACCTCTGTAGTCACGCATCACCTATACCAACTACTGGCTCCGGTAAATCGCTCTCTAACACTGTCTCCGCAGGTGATTGGCGAATGGAACTTTGGCTGTACGGCATGTAAACGGTTTTTACCGCCGAAAATGCTGGTGATACTTGTGAAAACAACAGCAGTCGAGCTGGGTACTGTGGGTTCTCGCACTTTTTTGGGGTTCACATGCTTCTGGTGCTTGGTAACCGAACCGGTCCCAGTGGCGGTCATGCAGTCGCTTTGTAGTGGTACCTTTCAGCTCCGTGAAATTCTGACTCCTTGGCTCCTTGTTCTTGACGTTTTACTCAAGGGAATAGAGCTTTCTCTCCAAACCTTCATCCCTTCCCTTTCGGCACCTAGTGTGTCATTCTTCGTGGTTATGTGGCAGTTGAGCAATAATGTTTACCACTGACTCGCCGCCGTCGGTAATGGTTATGAAACGCATTTGAGGTGGTCAGGATTCCGGATACTGAAGGCGCTGTCATTTTGTTACTTAACAAACGGTAGTAACTAGTAATAATAATACTAACAAATAATAAAACCCTTACTCAATGAGTTAGCGGTTCCAGAGTAAATCACTTGCACAGATGTTAGCAGCTGTTGGGAAGCTCCCATATCAACCAAATGTGAATGCGGTAAACATGCAGGGAACTCATTTCCATCAATATACTAACGTATATTGATGAAATCCCAACCTCCTCACTCAATTTCGTGATTCTCTAGTGCGCATCCAAAGCCATTTATGTGATTTTTGTTTTTGAGTACATAGATGGAATTGCCACGTTCGCCATTCTTCGGCATGTGCTTTTCACGCGTGACGCTAAAAGTCATATTAAGGGACGTACAGAGCCTGAGAGCCCCACTAACGAGTCAGCTGTATCATACTGAAGGAGCTGTACTAACTGTGATGGTAGTGTGTGTGTATGTGTAGCACGGACGACTTCAGTGCACAACAAAAGTGAACAACGCCCGGAAACTGCGGCTTTACAAAGTTATCAATGAATTTAATGGGTCGTACGTATTAGACATGCTGGGCTGTTACCGGAGGATCCGTGGTTTATTCAGGTCATTCATCCTGTTAGGTTTAGACTGGCCCCGATGGCTTCGCAACTTTGTGGTTAGTTGATGTGCTAACTGGAAGGTCAGTGATTCAAACACATTTCGACTTCTGTCTGGCCGTGGGCAATATCTTAGCCTGCACGCTTCCTTCGATTAGCATGGTCGCTAGGCCCATGGGGCGAGATGGCCTAAGTGGTTAGAGTGCGCATTTACTGACCGTAAGGTCTGTGGTTCGAACCGGAGCTCTGCCTCTCGGCTTTCCGTGCAACCTTGGGGTGGCATGGCAGTTGGGCACCGAAAGGGTGCTACAGCTGAATGGTTTTATTATTATTATTATTATTATTATTATTATTATTATTATTATTTCACACCAAGATTGTATCCAGCATCACAAACCGCAACGTACTGTTCATGTTCGGTGCGCATGCCGAGTTACAGCTCACTAATAAGAGTTGTGTTCTCTATTCGGAGGGTCGTATGAGGGCGGAAAGCGTATGACGCCTCAAAAGTGAATGCTGAATGTTGCATGAGTTCGATTGTTATGAGAGTGGTCCGCCCTCAACAGAGATTGTACACGACCCTGTGCTTGGCTGTAGATGTAAGGTGTACCAACAGACAAGTCAGTGATGTTTTTGTTGTCAGTTTCTGTCAAAGATAATTGACTATTTAAGTCATAGTTACCTCGTTTGTCTGTGCTAGCCGGGTCGTATGACCGCTCCCCCTACTGTTTCTACCCATCAGAGCTTTGAAATAAATTAACTTAATTGTAATAAGGCCCCGGCGTTATTGTTGATGCATGTCTCAAAGGTGTGTACATTTAGAATAATTGTGGTATGTTAGCGCCGGGTCCATTCCCTGTGCACGCTTCCTCCAACTTTGAAGCTTATCTGATATAGCTTTCCAGAAGACTTCGGTGATAATGAGGACATAGTGCGTCCACAGTACGAATCGGAACCCAGACATTTGGCTGATACTGGGCATAGCGGCCTGCGGGTACAGTCTTTTCGAACGATTTATCCCGATTAAGAATTTTCGGATCTTATGATTCACACGATCTTTCGGGTACAGATTTTTTTCGCACTCGTATTGGTAATCTTCATCAGCTTACTCCTATTTTTTTTGCACCAATTCCTTGACAGCATCCAGCGGGAAGCTTTCAGAATCCGAATTCGAAGATATACTGCAGAGAAATAAAACGGTTTCTTCCAGCGCCATCAATAGAGCGGTACAGGACGCAGCAAGTGGAGATTACGCTAGCGCCATAGAGACCCTTGTGACAGCCATATCTTTGATCAAACAGTCCAAAATTGCCAATGATGACAGATGTCGTATTCTCATAAATTCATTACAGGACACGCTTCATGGCATTGAATCTAAATCCTACGGCACCAAGTAAGTGCGGCCGCAGTTTGTATTCGAATAGTCTATGCTCGTTATGAACGGTCGGCTTAGCGTATGTCGCACACGGCAGCGTAGGTAGCTTATCTGGTTTCATCCAGTTGAGACTCATGACGCACACTTCTCACTGTGTCAAACTATTCATATGAACCCAGTTTCACAGTACTTCATCTGTACAATCACTCCCGCAAATTGACTCCTAGGGATCAGTATCTCAGTGATGGCGATTTTCATACACATGTAAATTCCGTAGAGACTCCATTACTCTTGCGGAACATGCCCCTTTCCAGCGCCAGCAACGACCGCTTTTCTCATATATACTCCGCGATCACCAAAATACCGTGTGAACTGTGAACCCTGTTGCGAGTCCTCTGTCTATATTTACTAGTTGTTCTGCCACATCGTTACGTAAGTTGATGCCGTCTATGAACATAGATATGCCGAGAATACCTTAGAAAACCTGCCTGCTCAAGTCACTCACGCTGCCTCTGGCCGATTTGGTTAATCATCCGAAATAGCATACCTGACAAGTACACAGGATACGATAACGGTCACGAGGGCTCGAGGTTTCTCAGTAGTTAAGACGCAAACTTTCTGACTGGAAGATCCATGGCTGAAGCCCAACCTTGGCATCTCGAGTTCTCCCATCGTTGCTTGGACGACCTGGCAGTAATATAATAGTCACTCAGCCTTAACACCCTTCCGTTGCATAGCTGCCATGCCACTAAAAGATAGCGATCTGGCAGTATCTCAGCCCTCATGCTTCTTTCGGGTTGCACGGCAGCTATGCTCCGAAAGGATGCTACGGTTGGACAATTATCATTTATCACAGGCTCATTGAGTGTACCTGTTAGCTTAGGTGCTGCACATATACGCAGGTTTAGTTTGGCACAGATTACAGTCGTCAGATCATGTCAACCCAAGCCAACAGGTTCTGCCTATCGATGTCAATGGGGTTCCTGTTGTCACTTTCTACCCGGATTGCGTGAATGATTGTCAGGATGTGGAGGCACATCGGAATGACTGCAGTAAATATAAAACCGTCCAGCTGTACCACTCTTTTGGAGCCCAACTGCCATGCCACCAGAAGAAAACAGGGCTGAGATCCCGTCAGGTTGTTCAAGCTAAGACAGGTTGGATTCGAACCACGAACCTACGGTCAGTAAATTCGCCCTCCAACTGCTGAGCCATCTCTCAGTTAGAACTAAGCTAACACAGCTCCTTCTTTGTCTACCTTTATTCTTTTCTTCACAATAAGGTTTTCAAATTAATCATGGTTCTACGGCAGCGAAGTATCGGTATTGAAGACTGATGTGCTGTCCGTGATGATGATGATGATGATGATGACTCAGCATGTGCTTGTTAATGTACTATCAAAAGTGGTGCGTCGCTGGTGTTAGGATTGTCCTCATGTAGTGGAAGTTTTTGGGCATCCATGCATTCGAATGGCAGATTACAAACACTTATTAAAGGCTGTAAACCATCAAGGGGCCGTCACAAAGAAAGTACTCGGAGGCTGATCATGAACTGGACCATAGTTGACTGAGAAAAGTTCTTTCTCGATATGTGACTTTGTGAGTCGTTAAAACCAAGCAGGATGAGCCGAAGTTCACGGTTCTAAAATCTCGACGTTTTGTTTCCGATCGAACAGTCTTAAAACTTTTCGATCGGTTAGGTCATGAATAATCCATCTGTTTTTCATTCTTAGCTAGTGTTATTATTGGCATTCAAGAGGGAATGCGTTAGCACCTGGGGGAAGGGACCTTTTGAACGGTGCCCAGTCCCGCTTGAGAGACTGGAACCCTTGAGTGTAACTTTGTGGCTGTCGTTATTAAAGGCTGTTTAAGAATGCTTTATTTTTTGTTCGTTGGAATCCCATTATTTTCTTTTTGGAACTAAACTCCTAAAGAATCCTCCTGTTTTGCATCTTTGTACCCGTCGGGATTTTTCGCAATTGTTCCTTTTTCTCACTGTTCCTCGTACTGAATCATGACACGAAACCGATTCTTCTTCCGTCCATTATTCATCGGAATGTATTTTGTGATTGGAGTGCACTCGTCCATCCACTAACCTATGTTCCAATGCGGTTTCTGTCATGTTAACAGCATTACCTTACTCGTGACTTTTATATAGGTTTTCTACTAAACTATCGTCACTTGTAGCTGTTTCTTATCTGCATACACGTTTTGAATACTACTGATTGATGTGTGATAATTGGTGCCCCGTCCCCATACCATCCAGTTGCCGTTCTATTGTTTTCTGTGTCTTTGTTATGCGAATCCCTGTGGTTCTCACGTAGAAACCAGGCATGCCCACAGTATAAACGAGGACTTCACAGATTTGGTCTTTTACTATTGGGCGATGGCAGCCTCGTGTTAATATCACAGATACGCACAGACACGGATGTTTATTAAGTCTAGAGGTGACTTAGAACTGAATCATTAGAGAAATCAGTTACGTACATGTATAAAAACGCGTCTGAGCGCCAGCATATTCGCTTGCCGAACAATACTCTGGGTATATCTGATATACTGCAACTTAGCTGATCAAATCTTTATGACTTACGGTTACTTAAGATATTCCCAAAGGGTCAATCGGTTCTACTGTTATCGCGGAGAGAATATCCAGTAGTTTCGACCTACTTCACAGTAATATGTTCAACCCTTAAATAATATAAGACGAGGTAGTAACATAACGAGACGGCACAGTGGATAGAATGCGAATTTATGGACCTGAAGGTCCGTGGTTTGCACCCGGCCTCCCCCTCGATTTCCCTTGTCTAGGCTTTGGCCACCCGGTATTATCCAATCTCTCGTGTTTCCTTCCGGTGGCCTAGCAGTTAAGCACCGAAAGGGTGCTAGAACTGAACAATATTTGGATCTTGTTGAACATTCGTGCGGTCATCGATTTAATGCATGCAGGATACATAATGCACCCAACTGCACTTCCCAAGAATTTAGACGCACTGTGTCCCTTTAGTTCGATTGGCCAGAGCCGTCAGAAGACTATGCTTTCATCAGTTGTCTACGTAAGACATTTAAATGTTTGAAGCCAATATGTCGCGTACGTAGGCTTTGGCGTGCTCAATGCTAGAATCCGTGGTCTTCCACTGTGTAGCAGCTATGGATGATTGTATGCCTTAACAAGAAGCCCTGTTGTCAGCAGGTGTATTTCGATCGATGGTGTTGGTCTCAGTTTCAGACGGACGACTAGGTGGTAATTAGCTAATCGCATCTTTTGGATATTCCGGCATTGTATCTGGAGCAACCACAGTCTATTGTCCACTGAGTCTAGTTACAGGTACCGCTATCCCCAATTGATGCCTAATCCAACTAGCAGGATTACACCATCTTTACTTTGGCCTTTAGTCCGATCAAATTCTATGCACAATGCTCTTGAGTGGCCTAGCGCTGACAATGTGACACTAACAAATCCACTTTATGATGGGGCGGCAAGTGGTTTGGAAGTACACCTGAAGAAAATGGGCGTACGTGCCGTTGATGCTATCATCTCACGAAGTCTGTTGCAGGGTTTCAGGTTATCAAAACGAGCTTAATATTCACTGGTCATAGTCTTGATAAAGAATTGGTCTACATAGCGCCGAAGTATTGATGTATGCGGGAATGCGACCTAAAGTCTTTCATCAAAATGGCCCAAACCCGAGGATATTGGAGGTCCTGTTGCGGGGCTTCTGACATGAGCGCAAACCGCGGACATGTTCTATGCCATCGACTCTTCCATCTATATCATCTATAGCCATTGTGACAGTGCTCCGTCAACCGATAGCGACCACTTGGCTATTTCTAAAGAGTCCCTTTTTTCAGCACATCCATACATACCAAGCTGACGTAGAAACTCACAAGGACGTCATCCACGGGAAAAACGCGAACTTTTTGGCACGCTGGTAATAATTTTTAATGCTCGATTTGACGGTGAGTAGTTTTAAACTACCTGTCATGGATCTGACTAGCCCATGGGCTTGTTCCGCCCACTGCTCGTCTCACCAGAACATCTGACTTGTGGATCTTAGGTAGTCTGTATAGCCGTGGTCAGATTATGCTGTTAGGGTGCGGCTGGCATCACTCGCTCCGAGTTGGGGTTTTCAGATGCTTTCCTTAGTCTTCAAGACTTCATACATACTAACCAATCTCTTTCTGCAACCCGTGTCGTCCATCAATTCGCTTGCAGTCGTGGTGGAGCGCGCATTGTTAGTATCCGTTATAGGATGACTGAACACGTACCACAGTACTTGATACGTGCGACCAGAAAGCACTCACTTAGCTGTCTGTGTATATTCCGTGAACTAGCACTATTGCAAGGAATCCGCTGACTACAGGCCATTTCGTTGACCTAGTTCTGGTACGCAGTTGAACGCTATGTATGCCGGCATTTGGCGCGCTGGTACTCACCAAGCTGGGATAGCCAGTCTGTATGCGCGAAGGGTATTCATCCAAAGCATATTTACCCTGGCACTGGTCTCGTTTTACTCCTCACCCTCTTGAATAATTTCATGTTGCATCATTTCAGCCATGCTCTCATGAAGGTGGCAAACATCACTTCTTGATCAAAATGTATTTGAGCAACTGCTTAGGGGTGTGTGTGAAGGTCATATTAGACGTGGGCGTTTGCACTTACACCGAAGCATTCAGAATGCAATGGTATTATGCATCGCTTACACGAGATTTCATAGTTCCGGTGCACGATATCGGCCTTATCGTCGGTGATTTTTTATCGGGATACAACACCTCATGGGTGGGGGGGGGGTTGTAGAAGCTGCTGTGCGATCAAAGCTAGCGCTATTGACGGGACACTTTCATCTTTGTCAAGTAGTTCTAGTTCGGAACATCATTTACCTTGAGCCTATGGTCGATTATGACCGTCGTTAACTGCAGAACCGTGCTTTCCTGCGAGACTTTCTCGGGTTAAATGGCGTTATAGACGGAAATAATCGTGGAAACCTGTGTCTGGTTATAGTGCTGCTCTGGGGTAACCCAAATTAGTAACAAGCAACAGACGACTGCCATGCTCAGCGTCGGTGGGCGTTTTTTCAGAACGGACTCTAGGTTTTGCATAGTATGCAGAGTAGAGTGAGTGTGATTGCTAATAACCCGAAAATTTGCATAAATCTTGGAGTTGGCAGTGAAGTGCAGCTGGGACCCCTGTCCCGGCTCTGTCAGTCGCTTTTGTCCAGTTCACTGATCGCCTTTAATAGTGTGGTAATATCCTTTCGTGTTGTCATCGGCTGGTCGTCCTATCTGAGATTAGCCGACCCCGAACTAGTTTGTTTAGAGGTTTGGCATCCCGTGCGTGCATTCGGCTGTTGGACGGACAGCAGCGCGTGAGCCGTGGTCACCGGGCAGGCAAATGTCTGATTGGAACACTTAGCTGAGGTCCTACCGGTCTCAGTGTATTTCACACACCTCGGGTCAGTGTGTCTTATGTCGTATAGCCTGTGAGTTTCGCAGTTACCACGAACGGGCATGGGAGCTATATAGTGGTTGCGTCCACTGCTGAGTAGATCAGGTGAAACAGAGCGACGAGACCGATGTTGTAATGTTCATCATGAGCCCGAGCTAGCTCAATGGTTAAGGCACGTAGTTGCCAACCGGGGTGTTCTTGGTTCAAACACAACCTCTACATCGATTGCCCCTATCTAAGCTTCGGAAGCCTGGCAGCATCTCAACCCTAGTGATTCCTTCGGGTTGAATGACAGCTATGCACCGAAGGGTTGAGCAATTATCTACTTATTCATTTTGCAACAAAGGTCACCGTGCGTTTGGTTTTGTCCTAAAATAGATAAAACGGGGTGGCACTGATCCATGGTGCCGACCTGCTCAGTTATCTGTCAACAGGATTTGCGTTTCAGATTCCTGGTATTCGTGGTATTCTTCCTTCCCTTTGGTAGATACGCTTCAGCCTTTGTTTCTTTTCGGCTTCGATTTGTTTCTCCTTGATTTACACAGCACAGGGAGAACCTCTGAACATTCACCACTTGCACAGTGAAGTCAAAGAGAAACCTACTACGTTTAAATACCATGTTTAGATGCAGTACTATAGTGGAATGTCGTATGCGTTCTCCTTGGACAGAACACCTGGGTATTAAGAGAGCCATATATGTTTGATCTTGCGCGCGGACATCGAACACTACTGTTTGAAATATTCCCAGGCGTTGCACATTTAGGTTCTCTGGCCTGACACTTATAAATGGATCGTGGGATTGCAGGATGAGGTAAAGGTGGAGTAGTATGAACAGACTAGTGAGATCTGAACCAGGTAGACCAGGACAAACCCCACTTTCCGGTCACTCAGGTAGAAGAAAACGAGATACTCCACCTTGAGCCTTGGACTCAAAAGTTCGATTCACAATGTAGTAGTAGGGTTTTGTTTCTAGACCCTCTCACTAGCCTCTGATGGATGGAACGACAGGGGTTTCTTGGGGACTGTGCTCGGAACATGTGGTCCATTAGTTTGACGCACATTCCTTTCGGACGCTGGACTTGATGCAGGGTACCGTGTGTTTGACTCTTGGCGATCTTGCGCACCACGGTACATTGAAGATGCTTGTAACTTTGGGTATGATACGGCTTCCCGATTGCGTTAGATAAGGCACCAGCAGTCGCGGTGGTCCGAGTGTACGGCATACGTTTTCCAATCCATCTTTTGAAATGGACAATGTCACCGCTTCCCCAAATATGAAGTAGCTGATGATATGGGAAACACCCTACTAACTTCACACTCAAGGTTGTAATTCAGCTACTCATGGTATGGAAGCCAGTTGTTTTTTGTCCACTGGCTTTTCAGATCCCTCGCATGACAACCGTGAGAAGCGAAATTTCACATAACCTATATTGCTCCTCATCGCTGCACATAAGCCTGACGGTGGCTGTTGATCAAGAACGTATTACCGAGTTGAGTATCAGTAGCGCTTCTCATCTGGGCTCTCCTCTGTTATCCCTCATTTAACTTGGCAATCGCATTCGTTATCTAGGAAACCTATGTCTGCCACTCGATATGGAAGTTCTTTATTTGGAAGACCCCAACATACTTAAGTTTTCAACCACTAATTGATTCAGATTTCAATCAGTCATGAATCGCATTCGGTAAACTGAATAATGTCACCCTAAGAGTTTGTGCGCGAATTGCACCCTCGAATTGCAAGACGGAGGATATGGGTGAGTATATCAGCGCACTTGGTAAAGGCCCAAAAATCACTGTAGCTTTCGGACGAGCTTGTTTATCTCGGCAGTTTCTTCGTCTTGTGTAGCAGCATTTCTGACGAAGTGAAGGCTAGAATCGCCGAAGTCAGCTCCGCTTTTCTCCAACTTGGATACCCCGTGTTGTGGACGTGGTAATTACCTGTCCAACGAATCTATGTCGCTTTATAGTTGTGCAGTGAGGACACGTGAAGACTGCCTAGGTTTGGTCACCACCGCTCTCGAATTGCTGTATTGAAAACATCGGGTCAGCAATGTCGAAATTCTATGAATAGATTCTGGCAACGATTCAGCTCTCTGTCAAGCCAGTATTTTAATTTCCATGCATAAAACACACTGGCTTCATCGTGTGCTAAGTACGCCACGTGGTCGATTGTCTCGCCGTACCGTCTTTGCTAAAATACGTTGCAACCGAAAGACATCGTAACGCGAGTAAAGCATGATCTGGAGACGAAGCATAAAGTCGTAACCACGCGTTTTAGCATCACTGGTGCATATTATCTTAGTGTACCAGAGACACCCCATCCACACTTGGAGGTACTCATCGACGAGGCACTGTTGCTCTATCAGGGGTACATTTCCTAATAGTCGGCTCAACATTCTAGTACTGTTTTAATCTGTTTTCCGCATACACCATACCTCTACCGCACCCTTCGCTGGCACCGCCAGTGCGTGCATGTTTCGCGATTGCCAAATGGATTGCCACACACCTGCAAAGTCTCAACACGTGGTATTCAAAAGATGAATGGAGTTCGCTTGGCTGATTAAAATTCATGTGCCTTGAAGTACACCTATGTTAATCATTTGGCTTGTTATTTAGGAGGCGAGTCCCAAGCCTGCTGTGATCAGAACCAATCGATATGTGTTGTGTTTGTACGGATATAAGCCGGTCAATTGTCGCTGTGCTCGTGTGCGCGACATTTGGTTTCTCACTTGTTGATACCCGATAAGAATTAAACAGCCGTAGAGTGCTTGTCGGCCTTGAGCATAGATTGGCTTTTCACTTGCAGGACGAAATATCCACCCGAATTTCCTCACTGCCAACATGGATATCTTTGTCAGTTGGATCCACACATGGATTAGGGATAGTTCACATTAAACTACGACTGACGGACTACTTTGCTGTCATCTTAAAGATCCATTTGCTTCATAGCACAACTATCTTGCTGCGGTGTTTATTTTCAGGAGCAGTAGTCGGCGACGTCGTCGATCTTACAGTGATAGTGGAAGCGAAGGTGGAGTGGATGATTATGGTGGATCCAGTCGAAGACATCGGGAAAGAGGAAATAGATCTCGCTCACGTGATCGCTCCGACCGGCATGATCGTCACAGGCGCTCGCGAGACCGGACTTCAGGAACTGGCAACAGCTACTACGGTGCACAGTCGGGGGCATCACATGCAGGTGGAAGTGGGCTATCCTCTGGCGTTTCAATTTCCAGTCTGGGATCTGGACAAGGGAACCTCGGCAGCGCGTCCTCTGGAGGCTCCGACCGTTACAGGGATTCACGTTACCGTCACTGATCACCCTTTCCATCTTCCACCTTTTCGTTTATCCTTTTTATTGATGCTACGTTTTCAGGCAATCTACGTTCACTTTTCTCTGTCTCTGCCTATTTCATTCTGTACCACAATCCACATGGCATCCACCGTTCAAAGCTCCATCTTATACAGCCACAATATCGTAAGACGGGGAGCACCAGTTGATCAGGCAAGTTTTGTTAATTTACTTTGTTGCCGATGTTTACTTGTCCTTGTTCTTGCTAATTGTACAGAGTTAGCCATTAGCTTGTACCGATATCTTTGCTACCACCTCTTATCTTCTGTATTATTATGCCACTCTTTCATGTATACTAACGTGTCACAGACCCACATTTGTACACTACCCATTCTAACGGTGTGCTTCCTAGCGACCCTCGTATTTTAGTGCATAATAAAGCAATAGTTGATTTCAGAACTTTGGGCCACTAAACTGGCATTGATTCGGATTTCTCTAGCGGACCGGAGTATCAGTCTTCGTGTTTCTGCTAAAACATGTTTGCCGAGCTCTCTATGTACTACTTAACCATTGTTGTATAGATGTAGCTAAAGACTGCATCAACGTCGTCATCGCCTACACGTCTGTGCATTTCTGCTGCATCCCTGTTTCCAATTGTCTACACAGGGTGCTTATGCGACCCCATCGACTTTAAAGTTGTACGGACACAGCCACTGCCATGTACCGTCTTTCTCGTAACCAGTCTTTCCTTCATATGTACTCTTTACTATTTTTTAGCCTGCCTACACTTGTACCCGTTCCGAAATATATATGTACCACGAGTCTTTCAGCAGCCGCGATGTGCAATTGACACCTATTTTCTTAGTCAACAGTTTGTTTACCTTTGTTTCTTTTTCCTTTCAGATTCAAGTCGAATCGCAGAACCGGTTGTTGGTCTACCTTCATACACAATACCATGCATTACTCTCCAACTTTGTTCTGTGATTTATTTATTGGCGGAATGTTACTCGGAATCCGGCTGATCTCTTGTCAGCTGACCTTAGGGCATCCGTAAATCGCGATCAGCTGATTGAAAAAAGCATCACGATCAGCTGATTGAAAGAGGCATACCGATTAGAATGTCTTTTTAGATTTAGTCGGGATTCCTCCAATCACAGTAGATAACAAAGCTTTTATCAGTATACGCATGGCGGCTGGCGGAGCCGGGTTACGTTAACGTAGTGTTTCTGTGAGCGGGACTGGAAAAGCTCCGATGTTCACGTCATCCCAATTCACCTGCTTACCTGTGGCAACAGCTGATTGTAAGTCTTCCAATATCTGTGTACTTGAATCAGTCTTACCCGGATGACCAATATCATCAAGTTGCTCACTCTGAGACGCGGGAGGGCCTTTTATTCAAGTGTAAGTGCACCTCATCTAAGAGAACGGTGTTCACAGTCAGACCGAGAGAACCAGAAACTGTGATGAGGAAGTTCAGTGTGCTCTTATATTCAATGCATCCTAACTTGAACCGCGTTGCCTATCGTCTGGGTTCAGCGAAGGGGCTGTATCATGCATATACGTTAGGACCCAAGTTAAACGACCAGCCTGAGGATATCGGGGAAATGTTACCAAATTGGACGTGGCTACTGGGATTTTGCGCCACGAGTTATGCTAGTAGTGCTTTGTTCACGGGGGATTTGTTGGAACGTGTGATATCCGACCAGGGTCAATGATTTGCTCGTACTCTGAAAAGTCTCGAGATTTTTCGCATAAGATGGCGATCGCCTACACTGTTTCCCGCTTGCAGTCGAGCCTGTAGACTCCACATTCCGACTAGTAGATCAGCTCACCCGTGTAAGCCTACACTGGTTTCTTCGTTGACCTTACAAAATGGATGAAATGGCTCAGGTAGATTATGACATCCAGTTATTTCACGGGGTTGCCACTATCATATCTTTGTGAATTTTCATTGTGGCTCGAGAACTCTGTAGCAGATGTGTGATGTCGGAATATCTAGAAATATCACCATCCCTTGGGTGATCTTAGACCTTCTGATGGGACGTTAATCCCCTCGGTGTTTGGTTTGTGTGTGGGTACTCGTTGATAGGGTGACGGAGTAGCTAAATGAACTGGCCGGAAAATGGTCGGTTGTCATATCTTGGTCGCATCTTTTGCGCGTAGTCGGTTTTACCGCAGTGGTCTCTTGTATCACGCTCGTTCTGGGTAGGGTTTAGACGGTCTGTGAATTCGGAATTCTGAAAAATAATTTGCGTATCGCCTTAACGTAATGAAAACAGTGCAAGGAATTATATCAATAGAAACAACGAGGCAGTGTTGGTCTAAGAAAGATTGCGGACAGATTAGGAATCGCAGATCAGTGCATGTTGGGTTGGTTGTTTTCTAGCGGCTGTTCTTGAATTCTCTGGGCCACATCCGTGTTATCTTCACCTTCCAGGGCTTCGGGAACACGGATTTCGTACACCTGTCTAAGTAGTTATGACCAACGTCACCGCTAAAACGCGTCTTGGCATTTGAGTTGTTACAGTCTTAGCGGCCAGCAGCTTTCTCAAAAAGGTGTATTTGCGAACGGCGTAGTGCAGTTGGGATAATGTGAGTCTGAGTCTATGAAAACTAGACAGTGGTGTTCCTCAGGGCGATGAGGTGATTCAGTATTCAGTCATAGTGCCTTATCAGCCTCCGTACTGGTATGGGGAAATTGGCATTTGCTATACAGACGGAATTTTGACCGCGAATTGACGGGCCCGCGCATGTTCAAGTAGTCTTTTGTGCAGGCTGGTCGAACGGATTTCTCCTTCGTTGGATCTTGGTGTTAGTTACGAAGTTTGATCGAGTCACAGCCTAGTACTCTCGCCTTTGTAATTTAAGCCGAAGTCCATCCGGCATTCGTCCGCCCACGGTACTCGTGCACGATGACGCTGTCTGGTCAGCTACCCCCCGGCTTGATATGATCTCATCTGGAAGGACCATCTCTCCATGTGGACCGAGGAGCTTGCGTGATTGGATACCTGGGCTGAATTATGACGGATTTCGCTTGAACATGACGCCAACCAATCCCCATTTTGAAATCAGTCTACATGGTTAAGTTAGTTGACTCAGCTGCTCTGACGACTTTCGCATTCAGAACAGTGTGCATACAAACTGGACGCACTCACTGGCATTGTTAGCTGTCGAGTAACGGGCGACCTTCATCCATATCGGTCAATGTGGTTGACTGAAGGGTCAACAGAGAAACGGAACTATGAGTACGGCACGAACAAGGGATCAGTAACATGGATGGCTCCATTGGTTAGAGCGCGAATCTACTGACCGGAAAGTCCGTGGTTCGAACCCGACTTCTGCCTCTCAATTTCCCATGACTGATCTGGGGCAACCTGGCAATATTTCAGCCCTCGTGCTCCTATCTGGTGGCATGGGAATTAGGCACCGGAAGGGTGCCACGGCTGAACGATTTGCGTTCAGTGCGCGGCACTAGTTCTTTCGGACGAATTTGAAAAGCACTGGTATTTGGGCTAACTTCATATCCCATCATGGTCTCTGAGGTCAAAACAAAGGCAAGTTCGCATACTTAGACTTGTCGCTTAGGTAATTGTACTTGAAAAGAGGAGGATCACTGTCATCTAAAAGTACGAAAAAGCGGAGCTACAACGTTAGAAATGTCGAGATGGCTTTCACAGTTCAATACAGTGCATTTTGAGTGAGCATGTCATAGGTTGAGTTGTTTGAACAAAAGACTGGCAACCGGTCTTAGATACCTCGGAAAATCACAATGTTACCGTGGGCTGAACTGGTTATGTGGCTCGAGCACGTTCACGATACTCTCTAGGTTTGTTTGTTTTCTTCACTTGTGCGGATGTTACTATCCAAGAGTTGTGGTGTGAGTTCTTTGTATAGAGTGTGCATACTCCTTTCGAGTGGATAGGTCGTTAAAACATTGGGGAACTTACCTACCTACCTACCTAAATCGGCTCATTCAGTTCGTTTAGTCCTGTGGGATGTGAACGAGATTCAGCTCGAGCGCACGCATGCCTTAGGCATTCGAGTTTCTGCTTCCATGGATGGCGCCCCGCATAATCAACTGGCTCATTGTGAAAGTGTGCGAATGATTTTTGTGGGATTCGTTCCGGTAATCCTTTGCGGAAACAGGGGTGAAGTTGCATCCAGTACAGCCTGCGTATTCTACGTAGTAGACAGAACTTCAAGTGAAAACGGTCAAGAATGCTACGTCTGGCGAACAAGCCATGGTGTTGAATGACGTGCATCTACGCCACGTCCCTGTTGGTAACTGATGCGTAAGCAAACTAAAAAATAGTCCGGGACCACCGAGCTTCAGATGGCTCAGCATTTAGGCCACTAACTATCTGACCTGGAGGTCCGTGGTTAGAACCCGACCTCAGCATATCGGCTGCGTGTGTCTAGGCTTGGACAACTTGACAGTATCTCAGCTGTCGTGCTTCCTTCGGGTGGTATGGCAGCTAAGAACCGAGAGACTGTTACTGCTGAGCGATTTACGCTTTGTGTTTTATTATGGGATGATATAATGCATTCTTCGCCTTGTGTTCACTGCGCTGACTAATTGTAGTCAGCTGTAACGGGTGTAGCTGAACTGTTGCTACTGGTTTTTGCTGCTGAAGTCAGCCAATGTTCATTCGATGCACTAAACGTTTTGTCTTCGAAGTTTGCCCGTTCACGCTTAGTCGTAGAATTATACTTAGGTCGTACGATACATATACGTCTACTGCCTAGAAGTACCCTCGGTTGCCTAGCTTTACTAGGCTTCATTTGGAGTAATTCTGTAAGAAGCAGGAGGACACTTTTACCAGTTTTGGGATATATATATATAATCATAGTCGATCAGAAATTCCACTCCAGAGGGACCCACATGTGAGTATTACAGGCACTACATGCGTGCAGAAGGAACCAATCACAGTCGAATAATGCTGTTCTGGAGGCTGGCCAGTTTCTATACGGACAATAACAGAGTGAGTGTGCGGCTAAGAAGAAAGTAAAAGGTCCTGATCCGAATTTTTTGTATTACGAGCGGTGTTCCCCTTGAAACCTACTCCGTAGAACACAAAGGCTAGCCACCGAAGCTGCAAATTCATTTTGTGATCTTGCGGTACCATACCCAGAACAATGTCTTTGCTTGTACAGAGAAAATGAAGATAAGGAGACCCGTTATGTTTATGATATAAACTTTGAACTTGGCTTGCATTTTTTCAAGAAACTTTGAGACGTCATCCTAATCAGCAATTTGCTCCGAAATTGCGGCTCCATTCGCATAACCAACTCAGCCCTACTTGGGGATACTGGTTAGAGGCTTGTGTCCAGATGGACAGGTTTCGTTGTTTCGGGGTACTTCGTGAGTAGCGAGCATGCCGGCTTTGCGAGGAAATCGTCAAATAACTGAACTACTTCGCAAGAGTTAAAAGTAGACTAATTTTTCTGGAAATCACAATCAGCCAGGCAAGAGCGTACGATGGAAACATTCTGTATTTTTCGTTATAGTCACAAGGGCACAAATTAAACATTCTGATATTCATCGACGAGGTAAGGTGGCGTACTCTTATTTGCTTTTCCGTCGCTTTTTTCCAAGGTAATGGTATCCATCCTCGCACCAAGTGAATTAAGAGCAGCATCGTGCTTTTGTTTGATGCCACTCTGGTTGTGCAGACACGTGCCACTAAACTGCAGCTTAAAGCGTGTGTTTTTCAATCAAGAACGCTTCTAAGGACATTATCATCGGGAATATCAGTGTTGATGCTTCACTGCCATACAACCTCAAAATTTAATTATATTTAAAACTTTATATTGAAAAATAGAGAAAAAGTGGGTGAAGGAGGGGATCTAGTGCTGACTTATGTCAAGCATTCTGAGGTGCCTACACCTCCATGCGCCCAATCAGACAATCCGGAACGAAACTGACGGCGCGAAAGCCACTGACATCCATCAGCCGCCATGTCTTTTAATGTCTCCAGCCAATGTCACGGGAACCCCATCCTGGAAGGCGTACAACACCCAAACTCTTCGTGATCTATCCCACACTTCTTCAAGGTCATGCATTGTCTATCTCATGGTTTGCACCGTTCTAAAAGGCACAGAGAATAAAGCTCGTCTTGGTAGACAGTGTTTCGGCATGCATAAACCACTGAAGCTGATGATGTTGGATGTTGTCCGCAGATAAAGTACCTGACGCACAACCAAATACCCGTCTTCTAGCAACCTTGTTACCAATCAGCTGATGCTATCCAAAACCAGCAACGTTTCTGAGGCACCTGAAAACACCTCACATCATCTGTCCTCAGAGGCCGTCTCGCACCCATATGACAATACGACTTTTACGTTATCCTGCTACACGCGACCCTTAGGACCCAGTGGTATGTCTTTTTGAGTCCACAAGTAACGCAGATTGACAAACGTGATTCGAGCATTCGGGCTTCTTGCATTAAGACACTTCTATCAGAGCTAATACAACTACTGAGGTATGGAAAACAGCGCGATTTCAGCCAGCCCCTTCTATGCGCATTCCTCGATGGAACACTGTGATTAATATTATGAATTTTGGCTTCTAACCACGCGGTATGATGGCGTAATACTTTGTGGCTCTCACATAATGTAACTCTGGCTCCTGTTCCGCCTTAATGGTCTCGATCTCCACTTGACCGAGATCATCAAAGTTGTGCAACAATGCAGACGTGTACGAAAAAAAACTGAGTTGATTTGCTGTCTATAAATAAGAATGGGGCAATATCACTCAGAACGTAGCAAGGTGGCTCAAGTACTCTGACAGAAAAAGCGGAAATAGTCATCTTTCATTTTCTAATACAAAAAGTATGGTTCTTGTGAATTCTAAGGTTAATCTTTGATAGATTCACAATGATTTTGTCCTATGACGGAACTATGTACAGTAGCAGTGGGAAAGTGATTCCTCTAGTTTTGGGGAAATAGTGGATTCATCGTTGGATGTGAAATCCTGAAGAAAAAGTGATTGATTGGGTAATTTTGAATGTCCTTGTGACATTTCATATTGGAGTTCATAACTTTAGGCGTCTCATCAAAACGCTGCATCCAGTTAGCCAGAAGTGAGCGGAGTTTCTGTCGAGGCCGCTTGCCAGAAATAATAACAATTGAACCACTCGTTTCTTACCAACGTCCTGTTATTTACGTTCTACCCTGCAGCCACGCTTCCGGTCGACCGCTCAAATTCCACTTTACATTATAAATATATTACTCGAAAGTGTAAGTAGTTTGTGCTGAATCGAGGAGTGTTCTTCGTATCCAAGGTAAACCCTCGGGTGGTGGCACCGTGTGGCCTCAAAGCAAGTGTCTCCTCGCAGAAAGGCTACGTGGTGGGCACAGCCTCCAAATTGTTCTACATACGGTCAACAAAAACCCATCTTTAAGCGTATGTTTTAGGTTCTGTCAAGTGTGACGGGATTTGCTACCTTTGGAAAAATAGATGCC